TTCACAGAGCACTTGCCTTAAATCCTTTGGGTGGCTTCCTGTCATTCTAAGGGTGACCAAAATCCTTTATGAGGCCTAGACTTGGCCCTTACCCACCTCTTTTACCTTAATTTGTCCCAATTCCCCCTTTACTCTCTGAAAGTCATTGGTTTGTGCTCATTCTCTTCCCCCTCCCCTTTTCCAAGTTTTGTCCTATTAATTCAGATCTCAGATTCAACTCCTTTTCCTCGAGACCTTGCTTAATGCCACCTCACCCCCAACTGTCAAGTGTTCGCAGGTCCTCCTTGACAGCACTTACACATCTCTCTAGTTATCTAATTATTTATGTCTGTCTCCCCAGCCAGTTTCTAAGTTGCAGGAGGAAAGAGACCGTGTTTATCCACAAGTTCTTAGTGGCCAACATGGCAGCCAGCACCACACTCAATACATGTATGTTGCTGTTGGGATTAAACTAAGAATGGGTGGAACCAACTCAGGGAACCTGCTTGCACGAACCTGCTTTTGTTCTGCTGGTTGCAACTCTCTGGACCATGGAGAGCTGGCTGTCTCTGGGGAATGGCAGTTAAAGGGCCTAGTTGTAACCAGCCTCACCCTGAGTTGGACTGGGGGCCGAGGTGCCATCCAGCTGCCATCTGTACTGTTCTAGAAGTTAGATGGCAGGAACCACAGTCTGACATGTGGAAATACGGCTGGTAAAAATTTTTTTGAATTGCTAGAAACAGCAAAAGAGAAAGAAGTGAGGACACACCTGGTTCCATTCAAGTGATACTGGTAATACTTCAGAAAAGATCCTGGGAGCCGAAACCGGTTTGGCTCAGTGGATAGAGCGTCGGCCTGCGGACTGAAAGGTCCCAGGTTCAATTCTGGTCAAGGGCATGTACCTGGGTTGCGGGCACATCCCCAGTAGGAGATGTGCAGGAGGCAGCTGATCGATGTTTCTCTTTCATCGATGTTTCTAACTCTCTATCTCTCTCCCTTCCTCTCTGTAAAAAATCAATAAAATATATTAAAAAAAAAAAAAAAAAGAAAAGATCCTGGGAAAAGTTACTAACTGGCTCTTTTCTGTTTACAGCTTTAATGCACCATCTGAGGCCCTTCTATCTTGTGACTTGACATGCTTTGTTGGATCTGAAGATGTAGCAGAGGATATAGAAGGTGAAATAATTTTGAGTATTTTATTGAGATAAAGTTCAGCCAGCAGTTACTGCAATGAGTAGAAAATGGGCCCAAGTTTTAGCTATACTAATAAAAGGGCAATATGATAATTAGACCGGGAGACAGGACATCTTCCGACCATGCAACTTCCTTCCAGACAAAGCCACGGTGGTGGGGGCTGAGGCAGAGGCAGTTAGGGGCAAACAGGCTGGCAGCGGAGGGCAGTTGGGGGCCATGAGGCCAGCAGGGGAGCGGTTAGGCAGCGATCCAGCTGGTAGGTAGACAAGTGATTAGGAGCCAGTGGTCCCGGATTGCGAGAGGGATGTCCGACTGCCAGATTGGAGAGGGTGCAGGCCAGGCTGAGGGACCACCCTCCCATACATGAATATCGTGCACCAGGCCTCTAGTTTCATATAAATGGAGAGATGTTGGTCATATGTAAAATGAGAGAATGCAGGTACTACTATATACTGATAGGTCTTAGAGAAATTAAAAATGCAGGACTTATAGAACATGAGACCTTGAAACCAACTTGCCACTGGGCTCAGATCTTTGAAAGGTAATATCTGGAAGTAAATGTTTTCTTGTTTTTGATGTCATTTGTTACTAAATTTATAATTTTGTTTATTTTTAGCCTGGAAAGATGTAATCAGTGGACGTTTTCATATTTATGTGCGTCCAGGAAATCACTTTTATCTCATGGAAACTTCCAATGAGACCTTCATCATGAACTACATAACCAAGTGTCTAGAAATATCGATGCTTGCCTGACTAGACGTTTTTCTGGTCTTAAAAAGTCAAAGTGATTATATGATAGTTTGAAAAATTTTTTCAGAAGTAGTTCATTGTTTTCATTCAGAAATTGGAAAGTTATACATTTGCTACTGTCAGGGGATTTGTTATATATATATACACCTGTATCTGGGGACAAAAGTCAGATGGGTCAAGCATACTTCTGGTAGGGCCTTTGTCTTTGTATTAGAATCTCATCTGAGTCTCATCTGTGGGAAGTTTGTCAACAAAATTCCTGCTTAGTAAATGATCCATTTTTACATTCAATTATTTTAACAGTGAAAATGGCAGACAGGGCATATGCTTAAAATTAAATTATTGTTTCGTCTGCACACGGGCTCAAAGCTTGATCTAATCTTTTAAAATGTAGGCTCATTCCATTGAATAAGAAAATGTAACCTACTGCTTGGTTAAAACAAGATGGTCCTAAGCAATCATTGCCGGCTGCTCTGTTGGTACTCAGAGTGCCTGGGAGCCCTTGCCCTCTTCTGATGGGTTCCTCCTACATCGACTGCCCTGTGGCTCTGGGTGGCCCTGCTGCTGCCCTGGCAGTGACTGACTTTGGCCGAGGGGGAATATGGAGTGGCCAAGTACAAACGCCATGTCCCATAGGCACCTCAGCCTCACCCTGTGAGCGTTTGATGTTGACATGAGGAGGAAGTAGAACAGCTGGAAGCAAACAGGAGCTAAAAGGGGGAAAAGCAGAAGTAGGGAAAATGAGCTCAGTCAAAACAATGAAGCCTACAAATGGAACCGCAGATGCTCCAGATGAGAATGAAGAGGCCCCGTGTCTCTGAGCCGTGTGGATCCTGCAGTCTCCGGCAATTCCCAAACTGTTTGTCCTTGGAATCCTCGATATTCTCTCAGACATCCTGATTTCCTTATTTCCTATGGATCTTCACAATAAACTCTAGTACTTGATTGATGTAACCGATGTCTCTTGCTTATGGCTAAAACTGCTTAACCCAGCATCATACATTAAAATGTTAACTTTTAAAGCATTGATATGTTTATGATCACATAATATGGGTTCATGTTTTTTAGCAATTTTAAAATCGTATATAAAGTCTTAGTAAATAAGATAAAAGGAAATGCATACAGGAGATATTTTTCAGAATTTACTAGTACTTTTTAACAAAGTACAAATAATATAAAATTTGTTATGGAGAAAGGGCTTTGAGCTAGAATTCACATAATAATAAATTTGGGCTAAAAATAGCCTCAAGCAAATGATGTTAAATGTTTAGTACGTGCTGTGCTGTGCTTTACTCTCTGGTATATGACTTCCAGGGTTCCCTTACAGAAGAACTGGTACTAAAGTAATTTAGATTCTTGATTATTAGTTTAAATAACTTTTAGTTATTATAGTCCACAAATGGAAATCCCACGAAGGAGCCAATGCCAGGCTTTTGGGGTGAGCTTTCTCACCTGCCTCTCCACCTGGGGAGGTGAGGTCCACATGGGAATAGCTCTGAGAGTTTTCAAGGCCTCGATTGGAAGGACCAGGCCTCCACTGCTGATGTCTTCTCATTGTTGGATTTGGACGTTGACTCATCGTGTCTTTAGGCAAAACTTAATAGAAATGAGAATCACTGTAACATCTACACATTTTCCAAATTAGAAATCAAGCTAGATTTGTTAATTAAACTTTTTATTTTGAGACGATTGTAGATTCACATGTGGTTGAAAGAGATAATATAGAAACACTCAGTTTCCCCTAATACGAACATCCCACAAACATCTAGTGTAACATCACAACCAGGAAACCGTCATTCATATCATCAAGATACAGAACATTCCTAGACCACAGGATTCCTCCCACTGCCCTTTTAACAACACCTGTGTCCCTCCTCCCTGGCAATCCCTGGTCAGCCTTTTAGATCTGTATCAAGAATGTTACAGAAATGGGGCAGTATGTAACCTTTAAGGGTTAGCTTTTTTTCCATTCAGCATAATCCCCTGGAAATTCATCTAATGAATCTAGATTTTTTTTTAAAGTCACATGAAATCAATCTATCCCTCTGGTCATCCCATACCAAACCTGAACCCTCATGCAGGCAATAGAGGGACACTGTTTTGGGGAGATTTGTAGCCTATGAAATCTCAAACATATTTTAGAACTATTAAAATGAGACTATCTTCATCCTGGCTGGGTGGCTACAGTTGGTTGGAGTGGTGTCCTGTAGACCAAAAGGTTGTGGGTTCTATTCCTGGTCAGTGCACATACCTAGATTGTGGGTTCGATCCCTGATCAGAGGGTATACGGAGGCAACAAATCTATATTTCTCTCACATTGATGTTTTTCTTTCTCTCTAAAAATCAATAAACACATATATCCTCAGGTAAGGATTTAAAAAAGAGAGAAACTATCTTTTTCAGAGAGTATGTGTACCAGCAAGAAAAACTGAGTATTGTGCCAATATATTTCAGACTCTACACTTTCACTCTGATAAAACTCAACATAAGAGGTATATTACCACTAGATAGTATATTTCAGGACTGGAATCAGGCCTGTGCCAGTGTCGACCCCAAAGCTACATGGTGCAACAAAAGAATAGCTTTGTTATTGGTTCTTTAAAAAATGTTGATTACACCACTATAGAAAAACAGATAAGCCAAAAAAAACCAAAAAACAAAAAACAAACAATTGTGCCCAGCCAGCATGGCTCAGTGGTTGAGCATCAACCTATGAACCAGGAGGTCACAGTTCGATTCCCGGTCAGGGCACATGCCCAGGTTGTGGGCTCAATCCCCAGTGTGGGGAGTGCAGGAGGCAGCCAATCAATGATTCTCTCTCATCATTGATGTTTCTATCTCTCTCTCCCTCTCCCTTCCTCTCTGAAATCAATAAAAATATATTTATTTTTAAAAAGAGCAAACAATTGTTAATGTTTTGTGCACACACTACCAGAGCAATACTTTTTTGAAAGTGTTTAAAATCATCTCTTTATATTGATTAGTCTTTGACACACGATGAATCAGAAACCTAAATAAATTTAAATGTAAAAAAAAAACCCACCTGGTTTTTAGCAAGTAAAATTTCCTTAAATATATAGTTTCATCATACCTCTAATTAAAGATTATAATTCATGTTACTAGCAAAAATTTTCATGAGATGTAATGAGTTAATAGTGAATTTTCTCCTCTAAATGTTAGGTCATGATACCATTATGAAGGCTTCAAAAGGAAAGTTTTCTCATACGCTGAATTCTAAATTCCATATTTTTCTATCAGCTCTTTTGCTTTAGAAATATAGGCATTCATGGCATCTTCCTTCGATAATCCTAGAAAGATACAAACAGATCATCTCACTAACAGATGCATTGGGAAGTTAAAAAAGTTCACTGAACTTAAGAATTAACAACCTTTTTGGAGGTTCCATGCTTCCCACTTAGCCTTGCCTTTTAAATCTAGCATTCCTGGACACTCTGCCAAAAGAAGGATAAACATATTGTCAGGTTTACTTTTTACTCTACGCTTCTATAAACATTGATCAAAGTATATCACTATTTTAAAGATGACAATAAATACCAATATTGACGTCTCCAATTACAGATTGTTTGTAGAGCCCGTAAAGTTCTTTCAGTTCTTCATCATCTGGCCTTGCTTTCAGCTTCCTCACATCTTCCGCTGCCCTATCAAAATCAGCCTAAAGCAAAGGAGAAAAGGCACATAGTGCATTCGCTAAGTGTATGCAGGCCCGTCTGTTTGGGGGCTTTTACCACCAAGCAGTGGGAACTCAGAGGAGCAGGGGGAGGGAGATGCAAACAGAAATAAACTACTATTGCTCTGGCTTAACCAGAATTATCATAACTTATTCATGGACCCCACTCCAGGTATTTATGTGTTATATAGACAAGATATGGTGAACAAAATATAATTCTGAATACTGAAAATGTTCAACTTATCAATGTTTAAGAATTGAAGATGACACAAGTAAATGGAAAAATAAGCTGTGTTTTTGGATTGGAAGAATTAATATTGTTAAAATGTCCATACTACCCCAAGCAACCAAGCAACCTACAGATTCAATTCAATCCCTATCAAAAGTCCAGTGGCATTTTTCAGAAATAGAAAAAACAATCCTAAAATTTGTATGGAACCACAAAAACTCCAAATACCCAAAGCAATCTTGAGAAAGAAAATTATATCCAGAGGCATCATGCTTTCTGGTTTCAAACTATAATATAAAACTGTATTATTCAGAACAGTATGGTACTGGCATAAAAACAGGCACCTAGGTCAATGGAATGGAAAAGAGAGCCCATAAAGAAACCCATGCATACATGGTCAACTTAATTTAGAACAAATAAGCCAGTCTCTTCAACAAACGGTGTTGGAAAAACTGGACAACCACATGCAAATGAATGTAACTGGATCACTATCTTACACTGTACACAAAAATCAACTCAAAATGGAGCAGAGACTTGAACATAAAACTTGAAAGCATAAAACTCCAAGAAGAAAACACAGGTGGCAAGCTCATTGAAACTTGTCTTAGAGGTAATTTTTTTGGATTTGACACCCACAGCAGAAGCAACAAAAGCAAATGTAAACAAGTAGAATTACATCAAACTAAAAAGCTTATGCACAGCAAAAAAACCCACCAACACGAAAAGACAGACCTACCAAATGGAAGAAAATATTTGAAAATCATATAGCTGATGGGAGTTAATATCTAAAATATCTATTAAAAAGTCATACAGCCCTGACTGGTTTGGCTCAGTGGATAGAGCGCCGGCCTGTGGACTGAAAGGTCCCGGGTTCGATTCTGGTCAAAGGCATGTACCTTGGTTGTGGGCACATCCCCAGTGAGGGGTGTGCAGGAGGCAGCCAATCGATGTTTCTCTCTCATCGATGTTTCTAGCTCTCTATCCCTCTCCCTTCTTCTCTGTAAAAAATCAATAAAATATATATTTTTTTAAAAAAAGTCATACAATTCAAAAACAAAAAAACAAACAATCCAATTAAAAATGGGAGGTAGATCTGAATAGACATTTTTTCCAAAGAAGACATACAGATGGCCAACAGATCTATGAAAATGTGCTCAACTTCACTAATCATCCGGGAAATGCAAATCCCATCAGTAGATGAGTGGATAAAAAAGCAGTGTTACATCTATACCATGGAATTCTATGCAGAAGTAAAAAAGAAGGCTCTCTTACCCTTTGAGACAGCATGGGGGGCCTAGAGAGTATTATGCTAAATGAAATAAGCCAGTCAGAGAAAGATAAGTATCACATGATCTCACTCATATGTGGAATCTAAAGAACAAAGTAAACTGATGAACAAAATAGATTCAGAGACATGGAAGCATGAAACAGACTATGGAATCTCAGAGGGAAGGCAGGGGTGAGAAGAGATTAACCAAAGAATTTATACGCATATATGCATAACCTATGAACACAGACAATAGTGTGGTGAAGGCCTGGGATGAGGAGCAGGAGCAGACTAGAGGGGTCAATGGGAAAAAAGGGGACATATGTAATACTTTCAATAAAGATAAATTTAAAAAACACACAATGAGATATCACTTCACACCTGTTACAATGGCTTTTGTCAAAAAGATAAGAGATAAAAAGTGTTAGTAAGGATGTGGAGAAAAGGGAACCCTGTACTCTGTTGGTGAGAATGTAAAATGGTACAGCCCACTATGGAAAACAGTATGAAGGTTCCTTAAAAAGTAAAATAATAGAACTATTATATGATCCAGCAATCCCATTTCTGGGTATTTAATGAAGGGAAAAAATTGCTATCTTGAAAAGACATCTGCACCTCCATTTTAATTGCAGCAATATTTACAATATCAAGACATGGAAACAACCCAAGTGTCCATCAACAGGTGAATGGATAAAGAAGAGATATACAATGAAATATTATTCAGCCATAAAAAAGGAGACAATATTGACAATTGAATGTACCCTGAGGGCATTACACTATGGAAATAAGTTAGATGGGAAAAGCCAAATACTGCATGATCTAACTTATACATGGTATATAAAAAACAAACCCAGGAACAAAGAACAGATTGGTGGTTATGAGAATCAGGGGGTTGGGGGATGAGGAAATAGGTGAAGGTGGTCAAAAGGTTAAAAAAATTGTAAGGCATATTTTTCCTGTAAGGTAAAGTGCATAAATAAATTTTTCTATTAAAAACTGTTTAATCGCATTACACTCAATGCAGCTTTCTCGATCAACCTCATGGACACCGTCTTCACTTCTTCTTAAATCTACACTTCACTATATGTAATAGCTTTGCTACCAATTAATATCTTGTCCAGGGCACATGCCTTTCACAGTCTTCAGCATCAGTATTATTTGTACCCGTTTAATGGACTAGCTAGTTTCTGAGAGCAGTATTTCTCCTTTCATTGTGTAGATTCCTTTAAACAAAACTTGTAAGACTTATTTCAACTGGTTTACAGAAAAGAGAAGTTGTTCAGCCAACTTAGAGCTGATTAGTGAAAAGCAGCTGGCTTCCTGGGGACTTTGTATACAAATAGACTGAGTAATAAACTTTGTCCTCCTCAGGACTTAGCTCTGCCTAACTCCCCAGGACCCTCAGCTCAGGACTTGGCCTGAAGCTGCCTCTTGGCATATTCCTCCTGAGACACAGTGCACCTAGAAACTTGGTTCCTGTCCCCCTTTTAACCTCTTAGTGTATATACAAAGGCTATGGTGGTTGTTTTCCATAATAGAAATTTTCCATTCTTTTTAAAAAAATCATTTTTATGTCTCAATTATGGTTGACATACAATATTAGATTAGTGAGACATTACATAACTAAGTGATCAACCTGATAAATTTCACACCTGACACCATACAAAGATATTAGAATATTATTGATTATATTCCCTATGTTGTACTTTACCTCCCCCCATGACTATTCTGTAACTATAAATTTGTACTTCTTCATCCTTTCACCTTTTTGCCTATTCTCCCAATCTACCTCCTATCTGGCAACTATCAAAATGTTCTCTATATCTATGAGTCTGTTACTATTTTACTTCATTTGTTTTTTGGGTTTTTTTAGATTCAATCATTGACATATATGTATTTATTGTCATTTTATTGTTCAAATTTTTTATCTTTTTTTTCTTTTTCTTATAGAAGATCCTTTAACATTTCATGCCATACTGGTTTAGTAGTGATGAACTCCTTTAGCTTCTTCTTGTCTGGGAAGCTCTTTAACTGTTCTTCAAGTCTAAATGATAGCTTGGCTGGGTAGAGAGAGTAATCTTGGTTGTAAGCCCTTGCTTTTTATCAATTTAAATATCTCCTGCCAATCCCTTCTGGCCTGCAAATTTTCTGTTGTGAAATCAGCTGACAGTCTTATGGAAGCTCCCTTGTAGGCAACTAACTGCTTTTTTCTTGCTGCTTTTAAAATTATCTTTGTCTTTAACTTTTGCATTTTAATTTTGATGTGTCTTAGTGTGGGCCTCTTTGGGTTCATCTTGTTTGGGACTCTCTGAGTTTCCTGGACTTGTATGTCTATTTCTTTCATCAGGTAAGTGAAGTTTTCTGTCATTATTTTTTCAACTAGGTTTTCAATTTTTTGTTCCCTCTCTTTTCCTTCCTGTACCCCAATGATGCAAATGTTGGTACACTTGAAGTTGTCCCAGAGGCTCCTTACATTATCCTCCTTTTTGGGGGATTCTTTTATCTTTTTGCTGTCCTGATTGGGCATGTTTTGCTTCCTTACATTCCAAATCACTGATTTGATTCTCGGCTTCAACTCTACTGTTGATTCCCTATAAATGATTCTTCATTTCAGTTAGTGTAGCCTTAATTTCTGACTGGTCATTTTTTATGCTGTTGAGGTTCTCACTAAGTTCATTGAGCATCCTTATAAAAAGTGTTTTGAACTCTGCATCTAGTAGATTAGTTGTCTCCATTTTGTTTAGTTCTTTTTCTAGAGTTTTGTACTGTTCTTTCATTTGGGACATGTTTCTTTATCTCCTCATTTTGGCAGTCTCCCTGTGTTTATTTCTATAATTAGGTAGAGCTGCTATGTCTTCCAGGCTTGGCAGAGTGTCCTAATATAGTAGGTGTTCTAGGTGATCTATAGGTTCCAGTGACACAGCCTCCCTGATCACCCAAGTTGCGCATTCGAGGTTTGTCCCCCCCCCCCAGTGTGGTCTGTGTATACCCTTCTTTTATAGTTGAGACTTTATTACTGTTGGTATGTCAATGGGATGGATTTACCCCCATGCCAATCAGCTGCAAGGACTGACTGCAACCACCAACCACTGAGCTCTGACCACCAAGCTCCAATCACCATTGAAGATCAACTTGCAGGGACCCACTCAACAGAGCAGCACTTACTTCAATGGGGCTCTGGTGCCTGCTGAGTCGGCCCCTTGAGTGTGTTGCTTGTGGAGATGGTTGGGTAGTGATGCTTCGACATGGTCTAAAGCTGCTTACTGGGTGCACTGGCCCTGGGGCCTCCCAGGAGGTGCAGGCCACGGTCAGCCGCCACCTGTATTCTGCTCTGGACCATCTGGCATGAGCTACAAAGTGATCTGCAGATGGCTGCTACTTGTGCTGGGCTTGGAGGTGCTCAGGTAAGGCCACACTGTGAACCAAGGCTGGCTGCTGTTAGTGCCGGGCTCGGGGCCACTTAATGAGGTATTGGGCATGCTGATGCTA